GCCAAAGTGTAGAAGTCGGCCCAGTTAGCAGCGGCGGCGGCAGATCAAGGCAAGTGGCGTGGTGGGCTGGTGGGCCCGGCTTGAGTTTGGGCGGGAGAATGGAGAGGAGTGGAAAGAGAATGAAAATTGATGGGCCCTCTTTGATATTTATGTATGTTTGATTGTTTGTTTGTGTAATATTTATTTGTTTTCAGTCGATATTATTTTGTGTTGTGTTGATATTACTTTGCATCATTGTTGAAATGAACTAGTATTCTACCTTCGCAAACCAATATCCATCATTAAACTAATGTGAAGGATTGGAATATTGTGTCTTACGTCAAATTAAACACACTATCAAGTCCTACACACTATCAAGTCCTACACACTATCAAGTCCTAACACATAAGGCTTGCAACCTTAGTTAGGGCTGCCCGCCGAGGGCCCATGGGCCGAAGGCCCATTAAATAGTAATAGTTTTTATTGTTTGTAGTTTATTTTTTACGGTTTATGGTATAGGTTTGGTTTAGGGTTTACGGTATAGAGCTTAGGGTTAAGGTTTCAACAATAGGGTTTGGTTTCTCTTTGAGGGTTAAAGGTTTAGTCTGGTTAATATGAATATCTATTCTTTCCTGATTATATTGTTTTTAGAGTTTATTCAGTAGTGTTCATTGTTTAGGGTTCGGGGTTAGGGTTCCTTGTTTCAATGTTTCATGTTTAGTTTTAGATATTTGTGTGTAACCTTTGAATATTCTCGGATGAGGGTTTTAGAGTTTAGAGTTTAGGGTTTAGGGTTAGAAGATATTAGTTGGTCTGTTGTGGATACTTGTCTTTACTAATTGTAATACTTTTTACTAAACAAATGATATTTATTTGTGTGGCAACTTTGAATATTCTCGGTTTGGGCAAACAATAATAGTTTTATTTTTTTAGTGTTTAGTGATTAGGGTTTTAGAGTTTAGGGTTTAGGGTTAGGAAGAGGCTACAAATAATAGATATTAGTTGGTGTGTTGTGGATACTTGTCTTTCCTAGTTTTAATACTATTTACTAAACACATGATATTTATGTAAAACATTCTGATATTTATTTGTTTTCAGCCGATATTATTTTGTGTTGTGTTGATATTACTTTGCATCATTGTTGAAATGAACTAGTATTCTACCTTCGCAAACCAATATCCATTATTAAACTAATGTGAAGGATTGGAATATTGTGTCTTACGTCAACTTAAACACACTATCAAGTCCTACACACTATCAAGTCCTAACACATAAGGCTTGCAACCTTAGTTAGGGCTGCCCGCCGAGGGCCCATGGGCCGAAGGCCCATTAAATAGTAATAGTTTTTATTGTTTGTAGTTTATTTTTTACGGTTTATGGTATAGGTTTGGTTTAGGGTTTACGGTATAGAGCTTAGGGTTAAGGTTTCAACAATAGGGTTTGGGTTCTCTTTGAGGGTTTAAGGTTTAGTGTGGTTAATATGAATATCTATTCTTTCCTGATTATATTGTTTTTAGAGTTTATTTAGTAGTGTTCATTGTTTAGGGTTTGGGGTTAGGGGTTAGGGTTTCTTGTTTCAATGTTTCATGTTTAGTTTTAGATATTTGTGTGTAACCTTTGAATATTCTCGGCTTGGGCAAACAATAATAGTTTTATTTGTGTGTAACCTTTGAATATTCTCGGATTAGGGTTTTAGAGTTTAGAGTTTAGGGTTTAGGGTTAGAAGATATTAGTTGGTCTGTTGTGGATACTTGTCTTTACTAATTGTAATACTTTTTACTAAACAAATGATATTTATTTGTGTGGCAACTTTGAATATTCTCGGCTTGGGCAAACAATAATAGTTTTATTTTTTTAGTGTTTAGTGATTAGGGTTTTAGAGTTTAGGGTTTAGGGTTAGGAAGAGGCTACAAATAATAGATATTAGTTGGTGTATTGTGGATACTTGTCTTTCCTAGTTTTAATACTTTTTATGAACCACAAGATATTTCTTACAATTAATTTGATTTTTTCCCGAATTGTGTGGATATTTATTAGAATCTGAGGAAATATTTCCTTAGTTCATGTGTTTGGATATTTGTGTGGAACCTTTGAATATTCTCGGCTTGGGCAAACAATAATAGTTTAATTGTTTTAGTTTTTAGAGATTAGGGTTTAGAGTTCAGGGTTTAGGGTTTAGGGTTAGGAAGAGGCTACAAATAATAGATATTAGTTGGTGTATTGTGGATACTTGTCTTTCCTAGTTGTAATACTTTTTATGAACCACAAGATATTTCTTCAAATTAATTTGATTTTTTCCCGAATTGTGTGGATATTTATTGGAATCTGAGGAAATATTTCCTTAGTTCATGTGTTTGGATATTTGTGTGGAACCTTTGAATATTCTCGGTTTGGGCAAACAATAATAGTTTAATTGTTTTAGTGTTTAGAGATTAGGGTGATAGAGTTAAGGGTTTAGGGTTAGTGTTAGGGTACAAATATTAGATATTAGTTGGTGTGTTGTGGATACTTGTCTTTCCTAGTTGTAATACTTTGTACTAACCAATTGATATTTATTTATAACATTTTGATATTTGTACGGGTTGTTTGGATATTTATTTTAACCTGATGAAATATTCCTTTAGTACATGTGTTTAGTGTTTAGGGTTAGGGTACAAATATTTGATATTAGTTGGGCTGTTGTGGATATTTGTCAATATTTGTTGTAATGTGTTTTACTTATTTTTTGATGTTTGTTTGTATTATTGTGATACATGGTTGGGTTTCTTGGATATTTGTTTGAACCAGCAGAATATTCATTTATTTCTTGTGTTGGATATTTGTGTGGATTTTTGAGATACTATTCGGGGTGGCGTGGATACTTGACAACAAGAATATCTTAGTATGGGTGGGCCCGAATCAGTTTTGGGTGGGCTTTTGTGTCTTTTCAAAAAATTGGGGAAAGAATAGAAGTGATAGGGCAATAAATGCCACAACCACTTTTCTCTCTCAACTCTCCCAACCCCTCCTTCTCTCTTCTTTTCTCTGAATTCCCTCTTCTTTTCTCCGACGGAAAAGTCGCCGGCGGCGGCCTGCTCTTTCCTCTTCATCCTCCGGCGACCAGGAAACGTTGCTGATGATGATCCACGATGAGGCCGAGTTAGATCGTCCATCAACGAGCTCGTCCCATGAAGAAGAAGAATTTGTTGATGGTGTATTAGAAGGTTTGACTCAAATTGATGGTGGTTGTGGGTTTGGCTTCGATGCAACAGTACAAGAAGAAGAAGAAGGTGATTGTGGATTGACATATTTATAAGTTTGTGTTGTTGAGTTTTGGTTGGGAGCATTGAATAAAATTTAATGTGTTTGGTGTGAGTTTAATGTTAGTTGGTCTTCTGGGATTCTACTATGAGCTAGTTGGATACTAGTTACCTACTGTTTGTTGGACGTAGTTTGTAGCCTATGTTTAATTTGTGTGGATACTAGTCTGGGCATATTGGATATTCATTTAATTATTGTGGATACTAGTATGTCAGATTATAATGTGGATGCATATTTGGAGCAATCAGATACTATTTTAAGATTCATGGATATTACTGTTTACGGATATTTGTTACACTTATTCTGGGAATTACTCTGGGCACATTGGATACTAACTGGCAATGGAAATATCTCGCAGCTCACAACACTTCCGACCTAGAAGATGATGAAGCGAGGAATAACATCTTTTTTCGTACTAAGGAAGAGTGTGTTCGTTTCTACGAACGCTATGCTCACAAAAAAGGGTTTGGTGTTCGAGTAGATTCGCAACATTTGAGAAAAAGGAAGAATTCCGAAGGAGAGGTGGTGAAAATTTATGCCTACCTTTATTATGTTTGTAATAAGCAAGGGTCAACGGAAGAATTCAATGTTGAGAAACAGAAACATGGAGAGGATTCCGTTGTAGAGAGAAGCCGCCCTAAAAGAAAGAGGTCTCGAATTAGGGCTGAATGCCCCGCCCTTGTTCGTTTCCGATGGGATGAGAATAGGGATGGATATGTGGTGCACAATTTCATTGGAGCTCACAATCATGATTTGCACCCCACCAAGCATGCTCACCTATTAAAGTCAAACAAGTCCGTGAGCGTTCCTCAAGGACTTGTTGCTGAAGCAAATCGCAATGCCGGGATGAGTCTTAGGTCATCGTATCAACTATTGGCTGAGTGTGCTGGAGGGTATGAGAACTTGACTTTTACCAAATGTGATCAGAAGAACCATTTGAACAAGAACAGACAAAAGACTATGTCTCGTGGCGAAGCGAGTTTCTTGCTTGACTACTTTCAAGACCAAAAGGAGAAGTATCCCGGCTTCTTTTATGCTGTAGAGGTAGATTGTGAGGAGAAAGTTGCCAATATTTTTTGGGCAGACAGTAGGATGCGTGAAGATTATGCACTTTTCGGAGACTCTGTCTCCTTCGACACCACCTTCCGAACCAATAAACACTTCCGGCCATTGGGTATGTTGACCACTTATTTTCCTTATTTTTTTGGACACGCAAGCGGTTATGTATTGTTTTTAATACCAAGTCTTTTGCAGGGATGTTTGTAGGTTTCAATCATCACCGACAAACTTGTGTGTTTGGCGCTTGTTTGTTATATGACGAGACAACTCCTTCTTTTGAATGGTTGTTTGAAGCATTTAGTAGGTGCATGAAGAGGAAACTCCCAGTGACCATCTTCACAGATCAGGACGCCGGTATGGCAGCTGCCCTTAGAAAGGAGTGGCCAGATGTGTTTCATGCCCTCTGTACTTGGCACATCTTGATGAATGTGAAGAAGAATCTTCGTAAGAGCAAGAAATTTTGGCATAAGTTCCAAAATCATCTTGCTTATCTTTTCTACTACGTCGACAGCGAGGCCGAGTTTGATGAGGCATGGAGCAGCATGGTTTCTGATTGTTTTCCCGGTAGTGAAACTGTCGATGGCCACCAATGGATGCAATATTTGAAGAAATTTCGTAGGCAATGGTGTTCCTTATATCTGAGAGATCAATTCACAGCAGGAATGTTGACAACGCAAGCCAGTGAGTCGTGCAATTCACAAGTGCGACTCTTCTTAAAACCGAAACATAATCTCGACGAGTTTTTCATCCACTTTACCTGGTACGTTATCTAAATACTAGGTGGACATTTATGGATATTACTTATCACCTTAACGATATTTGTAGATGCTTTTCTGGTATTTGTAAGTGATGGTGTGATACATTTTTGTGTTGGTTGGATATTTTCTCTGTTTGTCAATGGATATCAGTCTGGGCAATTTGGTTTTCTTCATACATGCAGTTTGTTGGCTGACAAAAGGCGCAAAGAGACTGAGTCCGACTATGATGGGAAACAATCAACCCCTTACATAGTGTTGGAGAAAAGTTCCATCCTCCAACATGCTGCCAAGATCTTCACGAAAAACATCTTCAATCGGATTCAATAGCAGTATCTGGAAATTGAAGACTATATAATTGAGCTTGTCCGAGATAATAGGGATGATGGATTCATTAGCTACCGTACATATAAGATGGAGGATGATGAGCGTAGCGATGAACGTGTCATTCTTGTCGATACTTCTACGGCCACATTGGTATGCGATTGTAGGATGTTTAGAACATTCGGGGTCTTATGTCGGCATATGCTTAAGGTGATGCGATTGCTTGGAGAGTTTGGGAACGATAGTATGAGAACTATTCCAGATCATTACATACTCAAGCGATGGACGTTGGAGGCGAGAAGGAAAGAAGTTGGTGATGCTGATGCTTCAGGCGATACTTCACATAGTCAGGAGAACGAGACTGGAAAAGGAGATATAGCAATGAGGTACCGAGAAACCACCGCAATGTTTAATCAGCTCGCAACAAAATTGTTAATGGCGGATGAGAAAGTGTACAACAGGTGGATGGGAGCATTGCAGAAAGTGTGCAAGGAGGCAAACAAGGCATTGTCAAAGACTATAACTAGCGAGGACGGTAAGTGTATCGAATATTGTTTGTAAATTAGTATAAGTTAATATCATGCGACGTATTACTTAAGCCACTAACATTGTAGGGAATAATGTACCAACAAGTGGCCTCTCTCTCAAGGAGAAGAGTAATCCAAGGAAGCACGGCAAGGAACGTTATAAGTCCACGAATGAGAAAGAGCGTCGTCGAAAGAAGATTGTCTATGGAAAGAGATTGAAAGCATTGGAAGTGCTCACGCAGGAAAACCATTTTCAACATGATGACCATCTCACTGACTTGGAAGACGACCTTGCTGAATTTGGGTGTGGATATTAGTTTGTCAAACTCGGATATTTTGTAAGCAGGCTACGATATTTGTCTACGTTGTAAGGATATCTGTATGCATGGTAGGGATATGTCTTTTGGTTCTACAAATATTATCTCTAAACATTCGGATATTTTTGTTATATTTTATGTATGTGGTTGTGTGGATTTTATGTATTTTCATCAAATATTATCAGATTTTGGATATCACTTTGGGTCATATGCTATACTTTTGTTGAATGAAAGATATTCTTAATCCATCCTTGATAAAAGTTAGTGTCTCCTTTTCTCCAAAACTTCCCAAAATAACCCAATCACCTTAAACTAATAAGAATAGCAATCAGGATAGAGTTAGTGTCTCCTTTTCTCCAAAACTTCCCAAAATAACCCAATCACATAGTTTCAGCTTCTCTTCCCTTTCTCCTTATATGCTGCCCACTCATTTGCCTCCTCAAGTATGACATTCCTTACTTTGTTGTATTTCCATTGAAGGAGACTGCCTGCAATAGATGCTCGCTGGTGCTCCACGTGCGGTTCCAAGTGCCAAGTTTCCTTGTATTCCGATGGAATGTGACCCGCCCAGTGCTCCATGAACATGCATGCAAACACTCCACATTCATCGTTTCCTTTTTGTTGAGGAACATCCGCAATTAAGAATTCCCAATCATGCAAGGGAAAATCGATGTTGTGCTTTGCAAGGAAAGCAGCCCCATACTCAAATATCAATTTCCCCATGGGAGAGTGATCCACCTTGGCCACTGCTGGCTTGGGTTTCATGCTGTCCAGAAGGAAAGTCTTCCGACTCCTTAGATCAGCAGCGTAGACCCGGTAGTGTTTGTCTGTATGCACAGGGAAAAAAATCTGAAACATAGAAAAAAATCAGTTATTCTCTCGGATAAATATCCAATAAACCCAGACTAGTATCCAAAACTAACATTTCAGCTATTCACAGGCAAATCTTCAAACAAATCAGTTATTCTCTCGAATAAATATCCAATAAACCCAGACTAGTATCCAAAACTAACATTTCAGATATTCACAGGCAAATCTTCAAACAAATCGGTTATTCTCTCGAATAAATATCCAATAAACCCAGACTAGTATCCAAAACCACATAAATCAGTATCGACATAGAATAAGTCTTCACTTACATATTCTACTTTGTCCCATGCAACTTGTTTGGAGACTGGAAACCGCCGCTGGGTCAGTTCAATGACACCATCGAGTCTCTCCTTGGACGGGGGCACATTCGTCTGAGAATTAAGTATGGCAAGTTGTTGTTTGCAAAGTAAAATAATAGCTAATTAGTTACTGAATATCTAAAAATTGTAAGGTGTGAGTGAAGAGCCTACTTACACCAAAAGTGAACGGAAAGATAACTCGTTTCTTGTCACCGGCAAGTGCTTTGTCGTTCAAGAAATGACCATAAGCCTCAATCACTTGTACATTGACCCACTCTAATCGCTTCAATGTCAACAGATGAAGACGGGCAAGTTTAACTGAAGGAGTGTGCACCACCAAGCCCTTACCCTCAGGGGTACTGAAGATGAACTCAACCATAAGACGAGCAACTGGGTCGAGCTTTGGCGACACTTCCTTCGACAAATAATATACTGATGAAGAAGCATATGGGTTCTTCTTCGACCTCTCAAACTCTGGGGTCTTTAGTGTTGCAAGCCATTCCTCAGGTGTGTAGCTGTACAGACGGTCTCTCTCCTCGTCAGTCATATTCCTCTCATCCGTGATAATCAGATCTGGACTCCTCTCAGCGCTCTTACAAGCCAATTCTACCAACTCCTCGTCTGTAGGCAACATTCCCATCTCTGCAAGTTGAGAGAACGACTCCACCACATCTGTAGGTGGTTCTTCTTCCTCGGCATTAGCAGCGCTAGTAGCCTCATGAGCTATCTGCAAAATGTCCTCAAAAGAGGTATCTGGGACTGTATAGTGTATCACCATAGGGACTGTCGACTCAAACACCTCCTCGTCCGGTGTCTCTACAGTCTTCTCAGCTTGATTCTCCACCACCTCAAATCTATTCTTCTCTTCAGGATCTTCTTCACACATCTCTCCAGTTTTCTCCACTTGTGGCTCGACCTGCTCCTCACTCTTTTCTATCATCTGTCCCAGTTTTTTGGCAAAGTCCACCAATTTTCCCAAATGTCGGTCAATCGAACCACCTAGTACCTTAAGCTGGAAGACAACGAACATTTTGCGCAAATTAAAAACAATCAACGCACATGTATCCAGTATAGTATCCAAACTGCTTGTGCAATTATCACATGTACCCAGAATAGAATCACAAGAGAGCGTACAAATATTCAAGTTGGCATTAATATCCAAAAAAATAAAATTAATATCCAAACCTCACAAAACAGTATTCTAAACTGAAAAGAAACCAAAAGCTCATATCCAAATTAAACCAACAAATATTCCAGAGCAACAAACTAAAATCCGACTAATATCCAAAGCCATTCCAACATGGCAACAAATTCCAGGAAAAAAGTACAACCCCCCACCAAACAACAGAAAACAGTAGATCAAATTCACTCTTGCTGTTCCAAAATCTGGACAATCGTTTGGACCTTGTCCCTTCGAGCCACCCACTTTTCAATCATGCTCTCAGTCATTTCCTTCAATCCCTTAAGCTACACATATGTGGTGAAATATTTAGGTTACTATATCATCCAAGTCTACCAATGCACTATCTTAGTTAGGGAGGAAGAAAACATTTTACCTGCCCTAGCGAAAGGCTAGTCAAATCTTCAATCTCCCACCATTCCGCGGTGGGCATCGGTGCACGATGTGGAGGAGGAGCTGAACTGCTGGCAGCTGCTGCACTAGTACCCCCAATAGCCACCGGCTTGAGCTGTCTGCGAGAGGCCATTTCTTCCCTACTCAGCAGAGCGGCAGCTAGGTCATATCTTCCCTTGACTAAGGGGATAGATGAGCTTGCCCTCTCGACATTTTGCTTCCACCAAAACCGGCAGCTAGGTATTGTCTTTGTGTGCAACCCACCTAGTTTTAGAGAGTCCAGCAGATGGAGCTGTAAAAAAAATACAATTAATAAATGTTAAGCGCCATTTCTAGCAATTTAATCAACAAATATCCAGTCTCAACACAAATAGTATCTTATGTGACTAAACTGATAGCCAGAAATCATTTCAAGCTAATTTCTTACAAAACAAAGAGTATCCGAGTTCAGTTAAATGATACCCAAATACGAAATTCACTAGTTTTCATGCAATTGAACCAACAATTGGAAGAAAAGGTTAGGACTTACTATCAAGAAGTAGCAATCTCCGAGAACCCACACGCACGGCGAGCCCAACACCCTTGACCTATATTCTTTTTTCTTGGCAACAGTCAACTCTACTTTCAGTTCACGGACAATAAATGTACACCAATCGTACACCCTCACGTCCTCAAAACTCCCACCTAGGTAAGGGGCAAAGTCCAGCTTGCACCTCCGAGCAAATGTTGGCACGAGCATCGAACCAGTAGCTAGCAACAAGAATTGCTTGACAGCAACTGCAACAGGTGTTCTGGGACCGTTGGCTGGAATGGCCAACTCCCGCAGCTTCTTGATAGGAACCATGCGAGCCCTGTTAGGAATCATGCTAACTTCCTCGCTGAAACTGTCGAGCATCCCCCCCTCAACGTTCTTCAAATCAATCACAGCACCACCGAGAGGAAGGTTGTACACACGTGCCACATCCTCAGCTGTGAAGTCGAACACCTTCTTCGATTCACCTTCCCCAAAAACAAAAGTACTGGTTGAGGGGTCATAAGCAGCCATCAAGTCATCCATGAAGACATTGGGAATCGTCGGCATGCGAAGTTCCAAGAGGCCCCCGAATCCTGCCTTCTCGACTTCTTTCTTGCATGCTTCATAATATCCAGCATCTTGTTTCCAGTAGCTTATAATTTTGAAGAGGGAATAGGTGGAGCCACGAAATCTGAAATATGAGCCGCAAGGACCCTCTCCCTCATCATCTTCTTCTTGATCTTCCTCCTCAACTTCTGGAATAGCAGGCGGCGGCTGCTTTGATCCTTCTCCTTGATGAGATCTCGGTGCAACCATTTTCGTTCTCTTCGTCGGAGAATCCTGAAACACAGTTATATATTAAGCAAAATATCCATAATCATTGGACAAATAACTAAAACGCACACTTAAATATCGACACTAACAGAACTGATATCCATGAAAAAAAATCCATAATACCCAGAAAAATAACTAAAACAAACAGATAAGTATCCACCTTAACAGAACTGATATCCATGAAAAAAAATCAATAATACCCAGAAAAATAACTAAAACGACCAGATAAGTATCCACCTTAACAGAACTGATATCCATGAAAAAAAATCAATAATACCCAGAAAAATAACTAAAACGACCAGATAAGTATCAACCTTAACAGAACTGATATCCATGAAAAAAAATCAATAATACCCAGAAAAATAACTAAAACAACCAGATAAGTATCCACCTTAACAGAACTGATATCCATGAAAAAAAAATCCATAATACCCAGAAAAATAACTAAAACGAACAGATAAGTATCCACCTTAACAGAACTGATATCCATGAAAAAAAATCAATAATACCCAGAAAAATAACTAAAACGACCAGATAAGTATCCACCTTAACAGAACTGATATCCACACATCAGACACATCAGATTATTTTTTTAATCCAATATAACTAATCGAGAAACGAATTGAGAAATCAAACCTTTGGTGGTTGTTCAACCGCCGGCTGTCGTGATGATTCAGCTGCTTCACGAGATTTTGCTGCAGATTTTGGTGCAACAGTTTTGGATTTCTTCCTCACGGGTTGTTCCTGAAACATAGTTAGATATTAAGAAAACTATCCAGCCAAGGATAATATTAAAATGCATCCGACTAGTAATTTTTAGTTAACATAACTAATCGAGAAACGAAGTAAGAAATGAAACCTGTGGTTGTTGTTCATCCGATGGCTGCTTTGATGGTATCCACGATAAGTTTAGGCCACTGTTGGAGTTCTTTTTCGGTCTCCCCATAACCTGAAACAGTATAAAAAATGACCACAATAAGTATCAGAAGTGACAAAACTGACATCCATGTAACCTTTAATCAAGGAATCGCCAAACCATACCCAGATTCAACAAAATCGTATCCAACAAACCCCCAAAATGGAATTCGAGAAACCATAATCAAACAATATATAAAATGAACAGAATAAGTATCGGAAGTGACAAAACTGATATCCATGTAACCTTTAATCAAGGAATCAACAAACAATACCTACATTCCCCAAAATCGTATCCAACAAACCCCCAAAATGGAATTCGACATACCATAAATCTGGTAACTAGAAAAAAAAAACCAGAGCCCCAAAATTCGAATCCCACAGACCCAGAATCTGGTAATCTACAAACTAAACCCTAAACACCCATATCCGAATCCATGAAACCCTAAATCTACAAATCGAGATTCCAAACCCTAAACCCCCAAATTCGAATCCCTAAACCCCCAAATTTGAATCCCACGGACAGAAATTCTAGTAATCTAGAATCAAAACCCCAAACACCCTAAATCGAATTGCATGAACCATAAAGTTTCAAATCCATAAACAAAACCCAGATTTGCACCAAAAAAATCCATGAAACCCTAACTTACTATCCACAAACAAAATGAACAATAAAGAGAGGAGAAGTCTTCTACCTCTCACTATCGGCGGCGACGGCGGTGGCCTTCTTCGTCGGCGAAGTCAGCGGCGTCTTCTTCTTTCTTCTTCGTCGGCGGCGTCTTCTTCCTCGCCGCTGGGTCAGTTCAACGTCGTCTTCGGCGGGAGATCCAACAAGCCGTCGTCGCCGTCGCAGCCCTAGTCGCCGTCGCAGACCTCGTCGCCGTGAATGCCCTCGTCGCTGTTGGTGGGTGGTGGTTTTCGGGAGAAGAAGAAAACGAGAGAGAGAGGGTTCGAAAGTTGGAGAGAGAGGGGAGAATGACTGACGCGGGTTGAGGTTGGGTTTTGGGTTTGAAATTTTCGGTTTTTGTTTTTTTTTTGTTTTTTTTTCTGGCCCCACTTACCCAAAAGTGGCTCGGCTTGGCCACAATATTCTCCCCCCTCACAGAACAGCGCCGGCGATCCCTCACCCTCGGATGGTGGCTCGGCGACGTGGCCCATCATCCCACCCTGTTAGTATCTACTAACCAATTAACCCATTAGCAGAATAACGCTATTGGCTTGGATGAGGAATTGCGGTCTGTAGTTACTATGCTGGAGCCTCAATGCTTGTCTCAGGCTTTTCATATAGCGAGATTGGAAGAGCACTCCAATGAAGCTCGTCATCGGAAGTGGCATAACCACAGCCTTCGGCCATAGAGTGGGCCGGGTTCGAATGGGGGTGCTACTAGTGTGAAGAAATGGGAATATGCTAAGGTCACTGGCCCTTCCAAATCGGTTCCTTCTGCTGGTTCTCGTGGTAATCATCCCAAAGGGTCCTGTTATAAACGTGGAGACCGTTATTTCTTTGGGCATGTGTGTGAAGCTAAGCTTCAGTTGAACACCATTCAAGGGGAGGAATCCGATGATGTGGTGCTTCCTCCGGTGGATTGGAGTGATGATGAGAGTGCAGAAGTAGAAGCGACATAGGAGGAGCAGCCTGAAGAAGTGACAATGCAGTCCCTGAGTAGTGGAGGTATAGCCAACTCATTAGTAGTCAAAGGCAAGATAGGGAAGCATCGACTGCTAGTCTTGATCGACACTGGCAGTACTCACACTTTCTTGCATGAAAAGAAAGCCATGGAACTTAAATGTGAGTTGCTGCCAGCCACTCCTTTGCGAGTCAAGTTGGCAGATGGAACCATTTTGCACAGTAATAGATTGTGCAAGGCTTTCACATGGACAATGGCAGGACATCAGTTTGTTCATGATGTCAGGGTTTTGAAACTTGGGTCACATGATTTGGTGTTGGGGTTGGATTGGCTCAGGACCGTGAGTCCCGTCAAGTTCGATTTCATCAACCTGCAACTCTTCTTTGACTTACAAGGGCAGGAAGTGGTTTTGACGGGGGCAGAGGATGTTGGCGATTGCAAGGCAATTACAGGCAAGGGGTTGTAGAAACTCTTAAAGAAGGCAGTTCCCACATAGGCTGGTCACCTATTTAGTCTGACTGTGGAACGAGTGAATGAGTCAGGCGAGAGTTATCACATTTTCAGGTAATGTTCCTGTCTTTCTTGAGTCTGTTCTAGAAGAATACAAGGATGTGTTTGGCAAACCTACTTCCCTAACCCCTTCCAGGCCTTGTGATCACCCAATTCCCTTAATTCCTGATGCCAAACCAGTAAATCTCAGACTATATCGCTATTCCCTTACTCAAAGACTGAAATGCAAAAGTTGTGCAAAGATATGATGGCTTCTAAGTATATTCAAACCAGTATGAGTCCCTTTGCCTCTCCTGTGTTGTTGGTCCTTAAAAAAGATGGATCATGGCACTTTTGTGTTGATTAACGACAACTCAACTCCTTAACTGTGAAAGATAAATTTCTTATCCCTGTGAATGATGACTTGTTAGATGAACTCTGAGGTTCGAAATACTTTACCAAACTAGACTTGCTGTCAGGTTACCACCAAATTAGGATGCATCCTTCGGACCAATACAAAACCGCTTTTAGAACCCACCATGGGCACTTTGAGTTCACTGTCATGCCCTTTGGATTGACAAGTGCTCCTGCTACTTTCCAACCCTTGATGACTCAGATCTTTGCACCTCACCTCGGGAAATTTATCTTAGTTTTCTTTGACGATATCCTTGTGTACAACCCTGATCAGCAAAGCCACAAACACCATTTAGCCGTGACCCTAGCCATCCTAAGACAAGACCAATTGTTTGCAAAACCTTCTAAGTGTGAATTTGGTCAGACTCAAGTACATTACCTTGGACATGTGATTAACCAGGATGGAGTCTCTACTGATCCATCTAAGATTGCTGCTATGGTCACTTGGCCGGTGCCCAGAACTGTGAAAGAATTGAGGGGATTATTGGGTCTGACCGGTTATTACAGAAAATTCATCAAAGATTATGGGACTATTTCTAAGCCTCTTACTGATCTGTTAAGAAAGGATGGATTTCAGTGGTCTCCTGCATCCCAAAGGGCCTTTGAGTTGCTGAAGGCAGCCATGGTACAGGCTCCAGTGTTGGCCTTACCCGACTTCACCAAGCCATTCACTCTTGAGACTGATGCAAGTGACATAGGTATTGGGGCTGTTTTGACACAAGATGGGAGACCTCTGGCTTATCACAGCCAAGCTCTTGGTCCAAGGAAACAAGGATTGTCGACTTATGAGAAGGAATACTTGGCGGTTTTGTTGGCTGTAACAAAATGGAGACACTACTTGGAGGGTAGGCAGTTTGTCATTTTGACAGACCATGAGAGTCTGAAACATTTGTTGGGACAGAAGGTACATACACAGATACAGAAGAAGGGGTTAGTTAAGTTGTTGGGATTAGATTTTGAGATCAGGTATAGGCAAGGAAAATTCAATAGAGTGGCAGATGCCCTGTCCAAACATCCAGATTTTGTCAATCAGAGTAGTTGCCAAGCGATTTCTACAGTTTTTCCTGATTGGATTGCTGATATTGAGCAGACCTATGTTGGAGATCCAGATGTTCAGTCATTAATAACAGGGATTGTGGTTCCATTTGTGGGTCCTAGGGTGAATTCAGTAAAGAATGGACTTCTCTATCACAAAGGAGCTCTTTATGTAGGGTCTGTTGGAAGCATGAGGACTAATCTGATGGAGTTATTTCATGGCTCACCAGTAGGTGGCCATGCTGGAGTTCAAGCCACTTACCAAAGGCTTAAGAGGTATTTTTCGTGGTCAGGATTGAAGAGTCAGCTGAGGGAGTTCGTAGGAAGATGTGATACCTGCCAAAGATGCAAAACTGAGACGGTTCCTTACCCTGGCCTTCTACAACCCTTGCCTGTTCCAGAAGGGGCTTGGCAGCATCTCTCAATGGATTTTATAGATGGACTTCCTAGGTATGGTGGTAAGGAAGTGGTGTTGGTGGTTGTGGACAGATTCACTAAGTATGGAAATTTTTTCTCAATGTCCAGACCATGGCCCAACTTTTCTTTGATGGGGTATTTAGGCTTCATGGGATGCCAAGAACTATTGTCAGTGATAGAGATGCTGTGTTTACTAGTGTGTTTTGGTCTAGTTTGTTTGATTTGCAGGGGGTTAAACTTCATTACTCCACAGCCTACCATCCTCAGACTGATGGCCAAACTGAGAGGCTGAACAGGTGCTTGGAGGATTACCTTTGGAGCATGATTCATCACACTCCACAAGTCTGGTCATCTTGGTTGTCCTTGGCTGAATGGTGGTATAACACTAACTACCACAGCAGCCTGCAACTCACCCCATTTGAAGCACTCTATGGGTATCCTCCCTCTCAGTTTGCTATTCAAAATCCATTGTCCACTTCTGTAGCAACAGTAGCTGATAAGCTCAGTCAGCAGCAGCAGCATATGGTTGGTATTCTGAGATCAAACTTGCGGTGGCCCAAAATAGACAAAAACAGATGGCTGATAGACATAGAACAGAAATGGAGTTTCAGGAAGGGCTATAGTTTATCTCAAACTCAGGCCTTACAGGCAGCAGAGTGTGGTGGGCATAACTAATCAAAAACTTGCTCCCAAATATTATGGACCATTCAAGATTATAAAGAAGGTTGGAGCTGTGGCATACCGTCTGCAACTTCCTCAAAGCTCTGTCATACATCCAGTATTTCACGTTTCTCTTTTGAAGAGAGCTTTGGGAACTCAGGTTGTTGTGCAACCATCCTTGCCTGACTTCGATGATCATGGTGAAATGAAGATTGAGCCTTTTGTTGTGCTAGCCAGGAGGGTCGTTTCACGCAGGAACCAAGCCTATACTTGGATGAGCTCAGGATTAAGGGGTCGTTTGCTTCAAGGATTTGCATCATGGATTTGATACTAAAAAACTAACTATCAAGGATTTACATACAATCCTTTGTTTGCTTGGTTAAAAAATGTTGAAACAAATCCGTGGGCCTCACAGATTTAGGTTTTTTTCCTCCTCCAAATCCGTGGGGCCCACAGCTTTACAAATCCCACATGATTATTAGGGAATTGGTGATGTGCTGAAAAACCAAGAGGCCAATTGACACTCCTATCCTCATTCTTTTTCATTAAACCAAAATTGCCCTCTTTATCCCCACCATATCTGTCGCTTCTACTTCCCATTCTCATTCTTTACACACCAAAGCAAGGAAGTTGCGAAGAGTTCTTCAGTTCATTTCCTGGAAAATTGCAGCCCCCACCAACAAAAGAATTCTTCGGCCGACGTTGAGTCCGCGGCAGCCGGCATCAATCTCCGACACTGAACCCAAAACCCAGGTAAGCAGGACACTCCCTTCTTTGCGTTGAGTCCATTTTCTTTGGTGAGCTTTTGCAAATCATAGGAACCATATACATACAATTAACTGCTCACAATTTCCTCTCCGAGACAAACAACAAATATGCCTCTCTCACTAACAGTATGTACTCCATTGTCCGATTTGCAGCCATGAGTGTGGTTGCCTATATGCCTTTTGTTCTTGGACTGTACTGTGTTCCATTATATGACACCTTAGGTATGGGCTTTTGTCTGTTAATAACAGAGCAATGATCATGATCGAATCAGTATACTTTATGCATGATTATGGCATTATATTTGTTTGTTCCTGGATTTTAGTAGTTAATGCAGCCTCTGACTTCTGCCATTTTCACATTGAACTAGTTCTTGTATCTTTTGGTGCTTGTATCAGCTGCTCGTGCCATCGAGTATATTTTATGAGAAGGCTTTTGTAGCTGCTAACAAGGAAAGAAGGGAAACAAAAAAACAACGGCAATCCCTTCCTTTTAATGGGTTAAAAAGGGCAATAAGGTAAATGTAGATTTTTATTTCTAAATCCCAAACCATTAAATCCATGATCAAAATGAGGAAACAAACAAAGGATTTTTTCAAATCCATAATGCCCCAAATCCCAAATAAAACCTTAGGTTTTTAAATCCCACATTTAAGTAAAAACCCTCATTTTACAATACTTGAAGCAAACGACCCCTAAGTTTCCAGAGTTTCAGACTTGAGGTCAAGTCGGTTTTGAAGGAAGGGGGAGTTAACAATTGGTCAATGTAAAAAGAATAAAAGTTAAGGATTGCAATTGTAGATTGTATTGGGGGCTAAACTGTAATAGTCTGGAACGGTATAAGATCACGCGTTTTGTGTGATAGAAGGAAAAAAGGGAATAACAGAACTTCCCTCCTTTTCCTCTCTCTTTCTCTATCCTGTTCTTCCCTTCTCTATCTTACTTTACCTTTTCTTTGACCGAGAAAAAATTGAGAGAAACCGCAACCCGCTGTTGCCATTCCAAAATTGGAAGTTGAGGACGATCAATTGAGCTGGGACGTTGCAGGGAGTCTGGGAATAGAGATATGGGAGGTCGGGGCTGGTACGGATCGACGATCGGGATAGTGATGAATCCATCGCCGCTCCATCACCGTAGACAACAATATTCGGGTTTCCCCGTCCCCGACCCGTCACCCGGTCAATGAAGTTTTTGCCCGAGTTGATCGGATCAGTTTCGGGCGGGTACCCTAAATCTCGCTTAGGTTTCTCATTCCTAAAGGGTTAATTGCATGGTTGGTCATTGAGATTACATAAACGTTCATGTTTGGTCACTATAAATATTTAAATCCAATCTTGGTAACTCAAATTAGTTAAATGGTTCAAGTTTGGTCACTCTCCGTCCATTTCTGTTAACTCTAGCTTACGTGGCAGTCAAATTTCATAGTTGACAGTTAAGTATGTGACGTGGCAATTAAAAAATTATTAAAAATAAAAAATAAAATTTTATATTTTACACCTCATTATTACATTCATTAAAAAATAAAAATAAAAAATAAAAAACCTAATTTCTTTTCTACACACCTCATACCCTACCCGACCCAACCTCACCACCACCAGAACACAACCTCCGGCCCGACAGCTGCATTCCTTCCGCCGAACCTGGTAGCAGCAAATCAATCGTAGCAGCAAATCAATTGTCAATACAC